GCCTGTTCCCTAGGCATGTATTAAGCGAATTTACCCCTTTTGGCCGTTTTTAATGGGTTAAGGGTATTAAAATGCCACAAGAAATGGCTAAGAGGAAAAAAATATCGAAAATAACAGCAGCAGCAGCAGCAGCTGCAACAACAACAATTTATCAATGACAAGCGAGGAAAGATGTGGTGTAGGAAGGGGGAACGAACGGCCATTCATCGATTATGCTGCTGACTTACATAATTGCATTTGCTGCTGGCAAGGGAAAAACGCCGCCAGGCATGTTGTAATCCATCCCAACATAAAAACTAGCTCAAAGGTTTCCCAAAAAAACAAAAAAATATATATATATATATAACTTATGCGCACATCAAAGTTGTCTTAATATATGTATATGCTATGTTAAAATTTAAGGGGTGCATTTAATTAAGTACTCACCTGTTCATTTAAACGTATGAATATTTTCTCTACTTTAAAACACATCACTGAAAGAACAGAAGAGATAGTTTTAATTAGTAAGGCAATATTTATTATATTCACTATTTGAAAATAAGTTGAAAATCCATCGAATTAAGAACAAAAAGTTATTATAAAAGTTTCCTATGACCAGCATTTTCCATTCAAGAGCGGAGGATTTTAAGAAAAGCGTATCAAATAAATTTTCCTAAATATATTAAGAAATTACATTTGAAGCCGTTGTTAAACAAAAAACTTTAAAATTTTCTGCCAAATTTCCATAGCTGCAAGCGGAATATCCAAAGTCGCTAAGAAATCGTATTAAGTTTTAATGTTGTGTCTTGAAGACAAGTTTGAGTTCGTTCGGTCGAAATTCAGAATTTCACCGAATCAATTTTTCAACCGCGTTTATCAACCCAACGGGGCCGATCAGATAAATTTCTACAAAGAATTCACATGTATATAGACATGCTTCATCGAAATTAAAATTGATAGTTTTCAGCAAATACTTAAAATTCAGAGCATAATTTTTGAACTTAAATGTTTAACAGTAATATCTTCTTCTGAGATTCTCTATTTCCGTATACTAATTAACTAGTTAGTGGGTTTTAGCTCAAGCATAAATTAAATTTAGTTTAAATTTTCGAGGCATAACAAACATGATGTAAAACTTTGGCTTAACCCCTGCTGTCCGATTTCCCACACGCATGGATCAGAGCGGCAAAATGGAAATAAATTGAAAAGCTTTTTAATTGATTGGCCTTCTTAAGGTTTGGCGCTTAATATGGGTAACTTTGCTTGATTTATGTAGTTGGCTCTAATCTCATGCAGTTTCGAGTGGGCGTTTTTGGTGTTTGGGGCCGCAGCAATTAACACGATTCAACGCGCACAGAACAAGAGACATGAATTCTGGGTGGGAGAAAGAGAGATAGAGAGGGAAAGAGAACGATAGAGATAGTGGCAAAGAGCAAAACGGCAAACCGAATCAGAATCCTTTGACATTTTCGTATTGCCATTTGCCAGTGTCGAGGCTAAAATATTGGGCAAGCGATTTGACATATTGCCAACAAAGGAACTCATTATCTGTGCATTAAATGGAACAGGACCCCAGCCGGGGCTCAGGCCTCTCTGTGTGTGTCACGCTCATAAAACACATTTATCATAACTAATCCTTTGGGGTTTTCGCTGCCAGCTCTTTTGCCAGCCAGCCCCCAATTTGGCGCGCACAGCCTCTGACTTCGCCGATAACGCTTTGAATAATAAATAAATACAAGCAACACCAACACTTTATTCTATTTTTTTTTTTTTTTTTTTTTTTTTTGGCAACAGCAAAGGGCAAAACGGAATAGGATTTGAAAATGGAAAATAGTGCCAGGCGAAGGTTTTTAATGCTAACGATTATCATATAAGCAATTTAAAAATAAATTGTACTCCTTTAGCAAAAAAAAAAAATTGGAGGGAGTATAGAGTGTATACGAGTGTTGCTGCCAGGAACTCAAACTTGGCTGGCTTTTATTCCAAGGCGATTCTTAGGCTTCCTCTTCTTCTTCTTCTTCTTTTTGTTTTGCCCATCTGCAGCTGGCAAATGCCCAGCGCATTTATTAGTGGGCTCAACATTTAAATAGCCCGGTACAGTGGCAGCGACAGTTGCCGCCGATTGACTGAATTTGCCATTTGGCAGCGTTTAAATAAATTTCACTCACACTCAACGTCTGTAAGGTTCGTCTGTCTGTCTGTTGGCCCGGCCCACCAGCCATTAAAGCCAATTGCCCACAAAATCATGGCCGATATCATAATTGCTCTTCGTGGCTTTTGCTGCTGCTGTTGCTGCTGTGGCTGTTGCTGCTGCTGCTGCTGTTGCTGCTGGTGGCAACTGTTGTTGCTGTTGTTTAGTCAGCGCCAGCCTTGGACAGCGCGCTCACAAAGCCCTCGGCCCTCGGGCTTGGCTCATGTAACACATTGTTGAGCTTTGTTAGCTGAATGCTAAATTGGGGTATGCTGGCAAGAAGCATCAATATGTTGCAGCATTTGTTAAGCATTTATTTTGAGCAAGAGACTATTAAAAGTGATCAATTCAAATCTTAATTAATCCAAAAGCTTTATGAAGACCTAAAACCTGGCAAATACTATTTGTTGAAATTTTATTATAATCCATAGAACGAACTTTTGGCTTGGTAAGGTTTTATGTTTGCTGCAAATATGAGCTTTCAAAGCTTAGTAACAAGAAGCTTTCAACTTAATGTCTGTGTCAAAAGCTTCGAATGAAATATCAGTATAAAAAGCTTTAACAACTAAATGAAGTCTCTAGAAATACAGTGTAATTTTAAGCACTTAGAGAATGTACAGAGAGGTGAAAGCTTTAGGGAGCTTTCCAAAGCTTCCCTTTTATAAAGGAAATGAATAAATATGAAAAGCTGTAAGAGAAATATTTTTTTATGAAGCACTGGGAATATATTCAGCCTGTTTAACGTTTTAATGACCTTTCAAAGCCTCAGTAAAAGCTTTTAAGGCCTACAAAGAACAGCTTTTACACAAATTTTATTAACATATAGTATACTAAATAAAAATCCATTTTCACAGAGTATCTGAGAAACGAGATTGTTAGTGCTTGAGCAATTTTTTATTTGTTTATTCCACACACACAAACAGCAGCAGTGTGTGGCAGATAGATGCGAGAGAGGGGGCGTGCAAATCGCAGCTGCGATAAATTTAAACACTTGTTGTAGTTGTAGCCAAAGTTGTTGCTACACAATTTATTAGAAACACTTTGCGGTTGTTTTGGTTTTTGCATGCGTGGCCGATGTGGCCATAAACGTCTCATGGATGCTTGCAACGCATTTTTATTGAATTTTGCGGCCTGAGTTATGTGCAACATGTTTGTTGCACAATAAAAAAACAACAACAGCAACGACAAGTTGGGTGCATGCAACGTCTTCTGCATCGACTTTTGGCACTTGACTCTGCGCCAAGTTAATTAACACTAACGACTTGGCAGCGGGTGGCGCTGACTGGCAGCGACGCGGGATGGGTGGCAGTCGGTTGGCTGGAGCACCTCAAAAACGGCATCTTCAATGCTAATGAAACGTCCGCTCGCCGCATACTCGTAAATTGCATTGTTTATCTAAAAAAAAAAATAGGCGGAGACTTGGCTTTTGCTTGGCTGGCAGCCAGCTGGACCGTTAGCGGACTGCAAAATGAATGCGGCCTCCAGGCTTAGGCTAATGGCGGGGCCCGAGTTCGAGTTCACTTTCAGGCTGTCAAACTGTGGCATTGTGAGTTATGGACGTGTCATGTGCGCGTTCCATATGGCCAAGTCATTGGCGCTGGCGTTTGATGACTTTTAAACTTTCTATTAAACTATAACAACGATGATAGATGAATAATAAAAGTACAAAATACATAATAAAAAAGTTTGCCGTCATTGGCGACAGCGTCGGTGCGCGCGTGTGTGTGTGCGCCTCTTGAGTGAAACTTCAGCGGCAAATGTCAGCGGCGAAGCCAAGCCCCCGGAACAGCAGAGCCAGTCGGAAACTGGAAAGGAAAATCAGGAAAACGTTGCCATATTTGCCCAACATACGCTTAGCAGACAGAGCACTCGATGATGCCCAGGGTGCTGCAGACGAAGACTGATGCTGCTGCTGCATTTGCGGTGAGTGCGTGCCTCGCATAAGTTAGTTTCGCTCCCTACACTCCCCCCTCCCGTTCCACGACTCCCCTCAAAGCCTGGACGCTTCCGGGCAGGAGTATTCAAGTGGCAGCCCGGAAGAGCAAGGCTGACTAAAGCAATGGCATCGAGCACAGATTGATGAGTTGTTGAAAAATGGCAAACTTAAACAACAGTTTGCCCACAAAGATAAGACGGGCCGCCAGGAAATACGCCCCGGAATTTACAACGATGTGCACACACACGCACACACACACACACAGACACACACATAAAACGCATGGCTTACGATATGAAGAATGAGAATTTGGCCTCCAACTCGCATTCGCAGCAGTTCAAAGGCAAACATAACCCAAGAAGCTGTTCTGCATTCCATAAACTAATTTTGATATCCGATCCAAACGATTGTCAATTTCTTGCTGAGCTCAAAATGAGTTGGCGCTAGGTATTTGGGATAAAAATCTGGGAGCAAGAGTCAAAAACTTAACTGTGGGAAATACTTAGCTGGTAAAACGTGCAAAAATTGCATATTTTCGAAAAGAGCCTCAGATTTACCAAGACTCTTGAAGTACCCGAAAAAGGGCTATAAAGAAAAAGTTATAAAGAATTGCAGCTTCAGACAAAACATTTCAAAACACTTTTCAATTAGCAATCCAAAAAGCTAAAATTGTAGGTTAAACAAAAGTTTTAGGGGAAGGTCATTTACAATGGACTTGGTTCACAATAGTCGATAACAGTTGATTTTTCAAATAAGAAACCAAATTATGTTACCTTAATGAAAATTTCAGTTTTCAGAAAGTTTCAAGACTAAAATGAAGACAATCAAGCGATTTTTGCCACTAAAAGTCGATAGTTTTTGGCAGTTGGCCTGGCTAGAATTGTCAAAATCAGAGCGTCTGCAGCTAATACACTGACAGGCCTGGCTGTCATTTTTTTTTCTAAAAATTGTGAAAGTTTTTTAATTCAATATGGAGCTGACGAACAAGACCAAGATGTCACAACAGTTGGCCATTTGCTATCGCAGCATCTGCGTCAATCTGCCCGTATTTGCAACCGCCCTTGGCATTTTCATTGCCAAGATGGGACGACGCGTCTACAGGCTGGCCATGAGCTGGGACCGAATCGTTGAGCTATACTCATGCGCCTGCCTGGTGGCCCTGCTAATGTCCTTGGTGTGGTATTATGCCTGTGTGGCATATCGAATGCTGGCAGCACGGCATCGCAGCGTTGTCCTGATCACGGATGTTGTGCGATTTCTTTTTACCGAGGATGACGATGAAACGAGCGAATGAATGACTGAACAATTATTATGTTACATCTGCTAATTAGCTTAATTAATGTTTAATAAAAAGTAAGCTTTATACTAAATCAAATTGCGTTAATAATGATGAAAGTGAATATGCAAATCGTTTAATCAATATGTAAATGCAAATGCACAAATTAAAATCCATCCATCCCAACCCAAATTGTTGCAACCTGTAAACGCTGCACAAGACCAAAAAAAAAATGTGAAAAAATGAAAAAATATGATAAATATAATAATAAAAAAAAAGATGGGCAAGCAGACATTTTGTAAATATTATTACAACATTTTTTGCCATTTATTTATGCTATTTTTCAAGGGTGTGCGTTGGGGGTTCGCTTATGTATTTTTATTATTTTTGCTGGCTGCATGATAATAAATTTGCATTTAAATCACCGCCGCCGCCAACAACGCCCCGGCGATTGTCCCGCTCGTTGCTGTTTGCTCATTTTGTTTGGCTTTCTTTATTTGGTGGGCTGCCGCACGGTCTACTTTTTGGGGCATGCGAAGAAACAATGGCCGCAACACATTGGATGTACACACAACATTATTAACCACAAAGTGTCACATGATTTTATTTGGCTCGTTTCCGTGCATTTCACCTGCAGCTTTTTGTGCTGCACTCGTGTCGCAGCCCAAATCGGTGGGACAGGCACAGGACTTTGCTCACTTTTATTTTTGGGCCAGACTTCTCTCCAGCTCTCTCGCTCTCCGTCTCTGATTTTAAGCGCTGATAAGCAGCAAAGGACATTCAAAAATAAAATAGCTGCAAGTGGCACTTGTCTTGGACTTGCGGGAACTCTTGCTTCCCGGTTTCGAGCGGGATTGCATACAGTCCTTGTCCGCAGTTGCCATTGCAATGCAGTTGCAGTTAACAAACTGCAAGTGGGGGATTGCAATTGCCATAAAGAGCGACGCCCCCCACCCATCAGGCACTGTCGCCCGTCGTGTCGAGGGCAAAATTGAAGTGCAAATAAAAGCTTGTGCAATTTTTGTTGTTGCCTAACCGTCTGCCCATAGGACGTCGCATATTTCAACAAATTTTTTACTGCACTTTCAGCTGAGTTTTCGCTTCGTTTTGCTGGATTGCCGCCGGTTGCCGCCGAAATGTCACCGAAACAAGCAAACGGAAACACTCGAAAAGTATTTTGTTTGTTATGCTAAAATTTAATGGCACAGGAAGTCGTATTAAAGACCAGCCCGACCAGAGCAGCGCAAGAAAAAAAAAAAAAAAAACAAACTAAATAATATTAAAAAACATTTCGATTAAGGCAACAGCAGCAGCAGCAGCAGTTGCACTTGCAGTTGCAGTAACAATTCATTTTGCATTTTACTCTATACGTACATATATATATATTTTTTTCATTTATTTCACGTTTGATTGATTATTGGCACACGATTGAAAAAAGTTTGATATTTCTGTCAGAGTTGTGTTTTTTTCTTGTTCGGCCTTAAATATATACATATATTAAAAAAAATAAATACAATGCATTTCACTCGTAAATGCCAATGTTGATTTTATGCAAATTATTTGCATGAACCGATGCAGCAAGAAAAAAATAAAGATGAGTGAATAAATTTAATATTATTGTTGAACTTTAATTATCTGCCATTTATTGTCATACGCTGTGCGTAATAAACTCGCATAATAAAAAATAAAATGAGAAAAACAATTTTAGCGAATCTCTTTCACAATACTCGGGCTAATAAATGTTAAGCGCAAAAAAAAAACGAGAACATGCGAATATCTTCGGCACGGCAAATATTGAAACTCGAAAATGCCGAGTTTGAAAATACCGTGGAAAATATAATGTTTCATCATATGCTGCTGTATGATATAGCGATCCGATCCGGCAGATTCCGATATATGTATATACTGACTGCCAGAGAAAGAAGTCGTTAATGCAAAGGGGTAATAGCTCTAAAGCCTTAGCTTTAGCTTTTTAAGAGTCTAGTTGACATAGATACAGTCAAGTGGACATGGTTTGGTATTGATCCGGCGAATATATACGTATATATATAAATAAAAATTACTTATATATATATATACATATATGCGTATATATTCTCCAAATCATTGGTTTCGAAAACGTGTTCTCCACAATTCTTGACAATATTAGAAGGCCTTCAGCAGGAAGTGTATCTAAATGTTTGCATATATATTTGAGCGAAACGTTGTTGCATTGAAATTACTTTGCAATTGTATAAAGGAATCCAGAATATAAAACTCTGCTCTGTGCGCTGCAGTTGAAGTTTCTTAGAGAACGTGTCCTTAGGGCAACTAAGCAACAAGATTCCGCTTACGTAATGGATGTTCAAATGTGAGATTCCGATGTGCAAGTGTTGTGGGTTGCTTTTATATAAATTTATTTTGCATGAAAAAGCTAGCTTCTAGGATGAGAACCTTTACGGCAGCCAAAAAAACAATGAAAAAATCAGTTTTAAGAGTTTTTAATCGAATAATATAATGCTGCTCTTGTCACTGCTCCTTCGCAAGTTTATTTCTTTAGCCTCAACTGAGAACTAAATATCTTTAGAATTCGCTCCTCGAGTCGCAAATATATATTTCCAGCATAAAACCAAAGTTGGGCTCATTTAGATTTTATTGTATTTATATCAAGAGTATTTGGCCATTATTTATGAATTTATTAGTAGGGTATTTAATTGTCGTTTATTTTCGTTTAAATTGCAATTATTTCTTGTTTACGCTGCTCAGTCAGTCGTCTAATGCCATATGGCATTGATTTTCTGCAATGTATCAATATAAATAAGCCATTTTCCATACGCTGGCTTATGCACTTGTCACATCTGCATAAGTAACCCCTCGCCCCGCTCTCCCTCTCTCTCTCTCTCTCACTCTTTGTCAAACTTTCTTTCCCTCGCTTTTCAGCTCCATTTCCTTATCCGCATCTAATGCTGCTGCTGAGCGCTGAGCTACTTGCAGACAGTGCAATCTGCTGCTGCAACAATTTGACACATTCGAATCGGAAAGTCAGCAATAGACAAGACGCAGGCAGACTTCATTCCAGCGCTAGACAAAGCCTCCAAAAAAAAAAAAACAAAATGGCGACAGCAGCTATCCAGTTGACGTCCCGCTGTGGGATACTGTGCGAAATTGAGTCGCAAGCGCATGTGAAAGGGCGCGTGGCAGTGTGCGGTGGCAGCATTCAAAATACATACGTGTATTTGCCACTTGCACAATTTCACGTATGCGAGCGAGTGTGCGTGTGTGGGTGTGTGTGTGTGTGTGTGTGTGTGTTAGACGCGTAGGATTGCCACATCAAACTATGCTGCCCATTTATTTGGGCACGTGCTGCTCGTCATTTAAGAGTTTTGTCTGCACTTTCGTTGCTGGAATTTTAAAATATTTTTCGTGCCAAATGGCTGCGTGGCTTTTACTTTTCGCTCCTTTTTGTTGTTGTTTTTTTTTTGGTTGTGCGTGTGTGTGTCAGTGTGTAAGTGTGACTGTTGCTATTACCAAACACCTCTACAGACAATATTCGTTTTGTGTACATTCAGTCCTTGACATAAACACTTTACGCGTTGTCTATTTTAAAATGTTGTGTATTTAAAACCAGAAATTTGAACAAAAGTTACAAATTTCTATTAAAATTAGTTACCGTAGTCAAAGCTCGTGAAGTAATTGTGATAGTTGAATATTTGTTTGCATACAAATTAGATAACTTTTATAGTAAAAATGTTCAGGATTTTCTGGGCAATTAAAAGTAGCATTTAAAATTTGTAAACGTGAGCGCCCTTATCATAATATGAGCTCTATTGGAATACTTATTTATAGCTTTATGCTTGCTGTGTTAGCTAACAATAGTTTTGAGCCATATCGAAAGCATAGCTCAGATAGCTCTGTATATCTTTAAGCATTCGTGGAACTGGGCGCTATCAATGGGATATGCAGCAAGTTATTTATTATAAAAAGAGTTGCCTTTGAGTTGGAATAACAAACCGCTTAAGAAAGCTCAGCTGCCTATGAAGTGTTTAAGCTAATTCGCATGCTTACCCAATTTAACTTTTTGTACTATTTCAAAAATCGTCTCAGTGGCTTGCGAGAGAGCAGCCAATTTGCTGACTAATGAAGCCTGGCACCAATAGAATTTGAAGCGAATGCATTCTACATATGATATTCATATGCCATGTACATTTGCTTTAAGGCAACATTTCAGTTGGACACGTGCTGATCATCATTTAAGGGTTTTGCTACGGCACTTTCGTTGCCGGAATTTGAAAATGTTGTTGTGCCAAATGCCAGTGTGGCTTTTACTTTTCGCCCTTTTTTGCGAACGCATGTGTGTGTGTGTGTGTGTGTGTGGCCGCAATATGACTGTTGCTGGCTGGCTGCTAACAAAGTGCCCAAGTGGTATGCAACATTGTTGCTGCCACGCAGCATTCAAATGCGGCGGCATTTTTATTTTTATTTCTGTTCGCTTTTCTGTTTTTTTTTCTTTTTTGGTTTCATTTTCTTTTTTTGTTTTTGTTTTTGTTTTTTTTTTGTTGTAGTTTTTGAGTTGCTTGCCTGCGTCTCTGGGCATCATTTCCACTGACTGCGTTTCATTTCATTTCCTGTTGCTGTTGTTGTTGCAGCTGTATGTTGCTTTTGCTTCAGCAGTAATTTGGTATGCCTTTTGTTGCCTCTGCCTCGGTCTGTGCTGTAGCAGGCGAAAAAAACAAAACAAAAACACACACAAAAAAAAAAAAAAGAAATAACTATTTGCGCTTTTAATTTGAATTACAAATTGTATTCAAGTGCAACAAAATTTAATCAAATTGCTGCGGCGCATTGTTTAAAGGCGGCATAAAGCGTAAACGCGTGCAAATAAATGCCGAACAGGCTGTACAACAATGCCAATGTCCTGCCTGCCCCCACCGTGGCGCACCCAGACCTAAGCCCTGTCTTTAACAGCCTTTTCAGCGCTTTAACACTTGATACCAGTTGAAATTTAATTGACTGTGTGCGCTATATGCATATTTGCTCAGTGTGTGCGTGTGTGTGTGTGTGTGTGTTGACTTGTTTGTTGGCCATTATGGCCAGTGTCAGGCTCAGGTCTCTGACGCTGC